TTTCAGGGAAACAACCCACGTCCTCGAGGTAAGGAGAATACTTCAATTACCGCCACGCACAATGCCGTAATGTCATTGAACGTGCGTTTGGTTGTCTTAAACGTCGTTTCGCCATTCTTCACGGGCCAATGCCAAACTACAAGTTTGATCGCCAAGTCAATTTTGTAATGGCCTGCGCCGTCGTGCATAACTTTATGTTACTCCATGGTGAGGATGTACTAGATCACGCCGCAGAAGGCCACGACTCAACCGATGAGGAATCAGCCCCTCAACCGGTTGCACACAAACGCCAAACACCGAACCCGGGCCGTGAAGACAGGGAAAATCAAAATGAATTCCGTGATATGATTGCGGACTGGCTTTGGATTAATAGATACGAGCACGAAGAAGAGTTCGACTCCTCGTGGCCTATTTAGGATTTTGCCTTCGATGGGGTAGGGTGCGGTTCCTTTATTTTATGTATGACGTTCCACCCGCAGTTGTATAATCGATGTGAAGACCCATCCATCTAGAATTGTATGCATTTACCCTTTAACCGCCTCCCAGTTATGTGTCCTTGTGTAATGCTCCCCCACTTATCTTATAAACTACCATTACCCGTAATATGTCTAGAGTTGTAAGCATCTAATTTCATTATGTTTTCTTCCATAACTTCACAAAAGGGCAATGTTGCAGTGACCATAGCGAAGGACAGAGATTTACACGTTCAACAGCACACCTACACGTACGACCAGGATGTTCTATCCTGCAACTGAACAGAGATTTACCCAGCCGACTGCACAGGCTGTGCCGGCGGCTGCCTTAATTTCTGTGTGTCCTGTTGGATATGGCATTCGTGTATCTCCCGTCACAAGGAGCCAAACTCTGCGCTTGGTTTTCCCACGCACTTTGCCATAGTTTTCGTGCACATTCATGAGACTGCTTTTGTTATTGTGCAATAGTTGTCCTGGAGAAGAACTAACACGATGAACAGCACACCTGCGCGTACGAGCGCGGTGTTCCATTATGCAGTATACCAGATAATTACGTAGCCGACTGCAAGGGGATGCTTATTTTTTTGTACGTGCCGTCGAAAATGGCATTCGAGTATTTCCCGTTGCATTTACCCGAACTTCGTGCTCGGTTTTCCCGTGCACTTTCCCATACTTTCGGTGCACTTTCATAACAATCATATCTTCACTTCATAATGTTTTCATACGACATATATCATTACTGCATAAAATTTGTCGTATTTGTTATTTATGGTTACGTTTTCTTTGTAACATCCTTGCAGGACGTAAGGGGCCAAGTATAACGAAACCGGCGAAAGGGAAGCGATCGCGCAAACTCTCTACTGCAGACATGGTCGAAGAAGATGATGAGCTCACTTTGATTCTTTTCAGTCGGTTATGCCGCACTGAACCGAACATTGAGGATACGTACCCGAGAATAAGCATTTTACCGATGCTAACTGGACGCGTAATCGATGCTGACGCCGTGGAAGCTATGGGTGGGGAAATGGAGATAGAGAGACTACTTTCGTGTGGGGCGTAGCGGAGGTTGTTTGAGATCAACGAGCCCTCATACAAGAAACTGACATTAGAGTTTTTGTGCACGCTAAAGCACGACAAGGCGAGCTTGCATCTGTATGACAAACCCAATGCCCTGCAGTTTCGCTTGGGAGGCCGTAGCTACTCAGTATCTGTCACGGACTTCGCTATCGCAGTAGGACTATATGACCGTGAATTCACAGAGACACACGAGTACAAGAACATGGCCTATACAATGCCTCTTTCTTGGTCAGTATACTGGCCTAGAATAAGCCGCACCTGAAACTTCAACCCAGGAGACTTCCAAGGCATCAACACTGAAGTCGCCTATTTTAAGGTACGTTCACAACATACTTGCTCATACACTTTCTGGCCAGAAAGATGCAACTGCGACAGTAAGTAAGGTGGATTTGGAGTTCCTTTGGAGCATGAACGAAGGGGTTCCAATCCATCTGGGATATTGGGTGGCCAGACTTTGTATAACGGCTGCCTCTGACACAAGGGTCCATAGCATTCCCGTCGGCCCATACGTTACCAGGCTGGCGAAGGGTTTGGGGGTAACGGAACTGATGGACAGAGTTCCAGATTCCCAAATGGTTCCGTGTGGAGTAGAGACTCTTTTCAGTATGGGAATTTTACAACGCCACCGCCGGGGCGATCCTGTTACTCACACTAAGCTCGGTCCGCAGCATCCCACCCCCAGCCACTCTGACTTATATACAATGTTCAACGAGCGCTTCGACAGGTTAGAGGAAAAGGTCAATGGAATGTGGGCAGAGCTGCGAGCCTTCATGACAGAAATGCGACGTGGCCGTGCTTCACTCTCGGAGCGCGGATGATGGCGTAAAGGTAACACGTATCCAGGTATGCGTAGTACTTCTTTTGTAGTAATGGACAACAGCGACAACGTAGCGGTGTAGCAGGCCGCGCCACGTGCCGAAACCAATGTACACACTTACATACCATCATTACGACGCTCGGAATATTGTAATGTGTACGCTACAGCATTAATGTATTTTGTTGAACCATAAACCTGCATTGCACCTCATTATACAGGTTTGATGTCGCTCCGATTCCTGTGTTTCTTTTGGACGAATCGTCATGCAGAACATAATGAAACTTATAAACCTTGCATCCTATATTTAACGGTTATTTAATACTCTTCTTGGCTGTACTACTTCGATGTCAAATTGGGTTGAGAGGTTGTAGTCACAAGTCGCTGCAAAAACATTTGCTTGCGAAATTTCAGCATAGTAGACGAAAACGTGGAGTTTGTGATACTATGGCTCATTTTTCGGCACTAACGGATGGAGGAAGTGAGTTGTGTTTAATCCAACAAATTCGATGGAGTGTGGGGAAAAGAAAACGGGTGTTTATCTGCAGGGATTCGACATTTTTCGGTTTGAATTTGAATAGTGAAAAATTGAACACAAAAAACGGTATGATACGACGTACGTACATGTTGACTGGGAAAATTACTTCCCAAGTGTTAGCTTTGATGATTTTACGAAAATGAAATTGCGTAAATTGTACAAATCTGAAAAATTTGATTACGTATAACAACGGTCTGAAAGGAGAAATAATAAAAAAAATAAACAAGAAATAATAAAAAAAATAAACGGGGACGTGTTTTGGGAATATTCTATCAAATTTTCAAATAAAAATTATTATCAAATCAACATTTACACACACAACATTAAAAAAAAAATCATTTAATAATATAAAATATTATTTTTTTTTAACATCAAATCAAACTTTCATTTCAACCTTTTCAATAATATTTTTTAATTATATCTCAATATCATTTAATTCAAACCATAACATCAACATATCATATCTCTCAATAAAATACTAATTATTTCAAACATAATCATTACAAAATTCAATCCCCTAAACAAACACAACTACAAATCCATACTTTAAAATCCTAAAAAATCCAATTCCAAAATCCAATCCCACGAACAAACACAGCCTAAAAAGAAGACTACAGATTCGATAGAAGACTATAGAAATATTGGGTTGTAGATTTTTTTTTTTTAATATTTATAATTTTTTTTTTCTAAAAATATCAAATAAAATACTTATTTTTTATTGTTTATTTTATATTAAAATTTACCTTTTTCATTCAAAATATTAAGTCAATATTTTTTATGTCACATTAAATAAGTATTTCAATTCAAAATTTTACAATTCAAAACTCAAATATAAAATTCAATTCTACAACCAAACACACACCGTCGATCCTCATTTATTGAAGTCATGCATTATTACAATATTAACTTTTACATTGTTTTTATTTGTATTTTTAGTTTTTTTGCATATTTATTTGTAAATTTTCCACACTCATTTCCTCTTAAAAACAGATAAACAAAAATCAGATAAAAATATATAATGAAATCAGAATACATATATTGATGTTAAATATATAACTTTATGATATCTGTGAAGATATATTAAATTTTCATACCAAACGTAGTATATAATAATTTTTTAAATAAAAAATTAAGAGCACGTATAAAAATAAATACAGAGAAACAAAATTCTATGGGTATGGTTCTCAATTAAAACATATCATCTTCTAATAAAACATCATATGAAAATATTATTTAAATTCAAAATTAGACTACAAAAATGTTCATCTATACATTTGTCTAGGACTATTAAGTAATTAACATTGTTAATATTATTAAAAAGTATCTATGAAAGTTTTCTATTTTCAAGTCACGAATTAATCAGTTTTCTTCTAATTCCAGATACTAAATTTATTAGTATTGAGATTATTAATTAAATTCATGTAGTTGATCCCGTATGTAAATTAAAATTCGGGTGATTAAATTGATGTGATTGATAATCTAAATTAACTTCCAACAAAATAATATAAGTATGTTTATTATATATATATATATATACATATATTATAAAAATTTTATATAATCATTTCAAATTTATGATATTTGTAAAGCATATAAGACATATTATTTTAATTGTTAGGAAAGAATGATATATTATCATATATTATTGATTATACAGAAAAAATAATAAGAAGAATAATACTCTTGGCCAGTAGGTTTGCTTTCTTTTCTAATATATATATATATATTTGAGTTTAATTTAATATATTACTTAAAAAAATATTCAAAATATTAAATTAAATGTATATATATAATACATCAAACATTTATTACAGCTATTTTTTTTTATTTATTTCAAAACATAATGATACAAACACAAAACTCTAACCACATATCACTCGCTATACAATTAATCAAAACCCTAATCAAATATCACTTGGTATACAACAACAAAAGCAATTGAACAAAGTTTAATGTACAAATAAAAATGAGAATAAAATAAAGGGATAAAAATTTCAATGGGATCGAAAGATCAAACTCGCTCAAAGGGGTGGTGGGAAGATCAGGTACCTATCGATCGAGAGTTGCCGTCACAACCCAACTTTCCGATAACCAAGGTTCATAAGGTAGAACCCTCGCCGCCGCCACAATTGTTGCCACTATTACCGTCGCCGTTGCCGGAGCCATTATTTGGGTTTTGATCTAGTGGGAAGAAACTCCAATGCGAATCCCCAAACAGCGCGGCAATATCATTATCCGCTCTGAATAAATCCTCATCAATAAAAGATCCTGAAAAATGATAAAACGGGCTAGAAGTGTTGCCCATATTTTCATTTCCCGGGAACGATTCTTGCTGAGGTTGAGCTGAGGATGAAGGCTGTGGTAAGACATTATACTGGCTTGAAGACGACGATGGCCCTGCTAGCAGATCATAGGTCGTCGGAACAACAGGATTTGCTGAAGGAGTTGGAATGGTTCGCTGCTGCAAAATTACTTGTTGTTCTTCTTGGATTGCAATAGTGGCGCCGCCGCTAGTGCCGACGACATTCCTCATCTCCTCCAACCTCTGGTTGGCTTGAGCTTGAACGGTCTCGAACCAGGCGGTCCACTCTAGGACCTCTCCTGGGCCAAGACTCTCGATAGGTACATGTTCCCACCATCCCTTTACGCGAGTTGGATCGATCTTATTGAGTTCTTTATCCCTTGCTTTTATTTCCTCTTTCATTTCCAAAACCTCGTCCAGCTGTTGATTCTGCTGCTGGATTTGGTTCCGGAGATGATCCTCGATGTACCCAATCATGCGATCCGGGGCCTGAGTAGGGTTTCTGTATCTCCTCAATAGGACATCCATATTCGGGCTGAAAAATGAGTATGGATTTCCTGTCGGGGAGTAGATTATTATTCCCATATTAGCACCACAAAGGGTGCTGAGCTCGCTCGCTTTTTTGTAAAGACTCAAACGACGCTTTGAGAATGAAGCGTATCTATCACTTTGGTTTTCGATCTGTTGGATGGGGATTCTTTGACGGCCTCTTGTTTGTCTAGCTGCCATTTAATATTAAAAAATAAGTTTAAAGGAAAATTAAAAATATGAACAAAGGAGGATTGTTGTAAGATAATTTCAAAGCTTATAAGACTTGATGATACAATAGAGCTTTGGTGAATATAAAATATATATAGCTATAAAAAGTAGATTAACAATTAATGTGATTAATTGACTTTTTACAATTGTAATATGTAGAATGATTTTGTGCATTATATTCATACAAAAAATAGATAATACTTGCAATCACAATTAAATTAGATAGATTTTAAGTGATTAATTGATAACAAAAAATTATTTAGTGTGACAATAAACAAAATAAGGCATATGATAACAAAATTTTAATAATTTCAACAACCATTTAAGTAATTTAGGCAAAATTTGATTGATCATAAGTATATAATATATATAAAAATATAAAATATGAAATCTCATACTTTACAACAAATTTGAGATTTAATTTATTAAATATATATATATATTTGTACCATAAGAAATAATGAATAAATGAACAAAATATATATATACATAATATATGAAATAACTTACCAATTTTTGAGCTATTCCGCGTACTTGCTATTGCATGGCAATGCAGCTGAGAACTTATCATCGGCATCCATTTTTGAAATATAAAATGAAAGTAGTAAGGATAAACGTATAATGTTATTGGATGTATGAATGACTGAAACATTGACTTTTATATAGACAACGTTCATTCATTTTATACGTAACTAATTAATAATATATTTATTTAGTAACATAATAATCGTGATTTTAAGCTTAAGTAAATGATGACATACCTTTTTATTAAATATAATAATCATAATTTTAATGAGATTTTATGTTTAAGATTTTATCAATAAAAAAGAATGCGGTGGCGTAATCTATTCGGAAAATTAATAAATGAAAGAATATTTTTTTATATATATTTTTACTTTTATTTCCTTTAACAATAGGGTATGTTTGGTTTTGATTTGTATTTATTTTTTATTATTTAAATTTTAGTTTAAATAATATTTTAATGTAATGTATGGTAAAAAATAATACTATATTTTTATGAGAAATTATGTGAATTTTAATATTATAGTTAGTTTTGATTTTTTGTTTGAAAATTATCTTAAAAGTTTATTACTCGAATAAAATCACTATAAAAGTTTTAAACACATGTATCATTTGTTCTGGGCAGTTTGGTTTATGGACTTGGAGTTGGTAGGATTTTTTCACAAGATTTGGATTATAAAATTCTAATGAATATATATTTGATTACAAAATAAATTATTAGAATTTAAAGTGCTAAGATTTTAAAATCATGCAAATGAGAGATTTTTTAATGATATGGTAACATGTTACTTTAAAATCTCATTCCTACTTTATTTCAATTTTTACATTTATACCTCATATCCAACAAAAAAAAAATATCTTCTTTTTTTGGTTTTAGTATTATATATATATATTTAATTAAATTATAGTTGGTTGGTTCTATGAAATATAATATTTTATTTAAAAATACTACTATAAATAATTACATATATTTATTTATAATCGTTAATTAATTTTATTTATATTTAATTATATTACTATGATATTTCAACTAAATTAATAATTTTAAAATTATTTGATTAGTGTGTTAGTTTTGTATTTTTTATTGGAGGTATTTTTATGTTAGGTATAAAAAAGAGTGTCGGTAGTATAAAAATAATAGTATATTATATTGAATTATTACATTTTCTAATGCATAGATTATACAAGTATATCTTTTGTATGAATCTGTATAGATTATATTTTTTTAATATTAATCGAAAACCATATCACAAAAATTTTATTAGAAACACCCAATTTAGTAAATAAATAAATAAAATTCACAAAAAAATTGAATGTATAGGTTAAATTTATCACAACAAATAAAACTCACAAGAGGATAATTATATCATTTAAAATATACACATTCCAAATTTTTTCATTAATCTGCAAAACAAATTGATTTGAAAAATATAATTCTGAAAACATAATATAAATAAGATTTCGAATTCTAAATGCAATAAATTCTATCACATATAAATCCTAACAATCTCATAAAAAAGTCATTGAACCAAACAATCCATTAGCATTTTTGGATGAATTTATTTTTTTATGTTAGATATGAGAAATTATATTGGTACGATAAAATAATAATTTGAATTGAATCGTTGATTTTCTTAAGTGAATAAAGTATATATTATATATATATGGGTAAACTATATTTTTTTAGTCCCGTAACTGGACCATTTTATCATTTTAGTTCCATAACTTTGTCCTTAAATAGTCTCGTAAAATGGAAATCTTTTCGCATATTTAGTCCTCCGTTGGCAGATATACTTACGTGGCACTCACATGGCACGCTAGATGACACATGTTTGTCAGGCTACCCGACGGACATGAAAATTTTATTTTTATTTTTTTAAAATTGATATATTTTTAAAAATATAAAAAATAAATGAAAATATTTTTTATAATTTTATAAAATAGTTAATATATATGTTTTAATTTTAATTTTAATTTTAATTTTTTTAAAAAATTGATGTATTTTTTTAAAAAATAATAAATAATAAATTTTCCACATGTGAGCCAAGTGGCGGTACCTGGCGGATACGGATTCTTCAGCGTGCCACGTGGGTGTCACGCATGCATCTCCGGCGTTGGAGGACTAAATGTACAAATAATTTTTAATTACAATACTATTTCAAGACAAACTCTAGTTACGGAACTAAAATAGTAATGGGGCTTACGAGACAAAAAAAATAATAATAATAATTTACCCTATATATTGTATTAATGTGTACATGTTCGCTCTGTTCTTTCAGCATCATTTTGCAACTATAATTCCCCAAAAATAATACTCACTCCATTCAAGGATATTATTTTCTATTTTTTAGTCCCAAAATAAAGATATCATTTTCTAATTTAAGTAATTGTACTACATATCTAATATAATTAATACCTTTACAACTTTCAATATATTATACAAATGCCATTATTTTTATATCACACAATTAAATAAGGGTATTTTTGTTTTTTTCACTATAAACCAATATATTAATAATATTAAAAATCTATGTGCAAAAAATAAATGATGCTCTTTTTTCGAGACAGAGATAGTATTAAAAAAACTACAAAATATTTTATACAAATCAAAAAGTAAAAAAAAAAACTTCAAATATTCATTATAAAAAGTCAAATATCCAACCAAAATAATATATTTTATATTTTTTACACAATTTCACATCACATATCGAAAATAATTTCATCTAAAATGTTAGAAATTTTGGGGAAAAATAATGAGATTGTGTTCTTGATTATCAAAATAAGGGCACTATATATATGTAATACAAAACAGACTCGATAGACTCAAATCTAAGTAATATAATCTATAAATAAGACCAAATTTAATTATTAATATACTAAATCTAAAATTGAATATTTAAAATATCTCAATATCCCCTCTCAAACTCAAGTGGGTGCCGTAAAAACCAACTTGAGTTTGTCCAAGAGCAATCGGAAGCGGCTGAGAAGAAGAGACTTGGTGAAGATATATGTTGTCTGATCTGCGGAGGAGACCGAAACGAGATGGACAACACCACCGATGACATGTTGTCGAATGAAGTGACAGTCAAGCTCAATATGTTTAGTTCGCTCGTGAAAAGTATCATTGCGGGCCATCTTTATAGCACTCTGAATGTCGCAATGAAGAGCCGTAGAAGATGACTAAGGAACACCAAGATCATTGAGTAATTGACGAAGCCATAAAATTTCTGACGTAGAGTCATCAAGGTCACGATACTCCAACTCGGCACTCGATCGAGAAACTAAAGTCTGCTTCTTGCTGCGCCAAGAGACGAGAGAATCACCCAGGAAGAAGAAGAAACCAGTGGTCGAACGATGATCAATAGGATCACCAGCCCAATCAACATCAGAGTAACCGCTGAGAGTAAAAAACGAATGAGAGGAAAAGTGTAAACCATGCAGAAGAGTATTTTTCAAATAAAAAGGAATATGTAAGACGACAAAGTGGTGAGAGGTCCACGGAGTGGCCATGAACTTACTCACAATAGGAACTGCATGAGCGATATCTGGTCGAGTCACAATCAAGTAGATCAAGCTCCTAACAAGTTGACGATAGAGGGTAGGGTCATCAAGAAAAGAGCCATCATGAGGAGTAAGTTGAACATCGTAGGCAAGTGGTGTAAAGGCTACCTGACAGTTTGTGAGACCAGCTCGAGCAAGGAGATTGGAGGCATACTTAGCCTGAGAGAGAAAGAAACCATCGGAAGAATCAAAGATTCAAGCCCCAAGAAGTAACGAAGGGTACCCAAGCTCTTCATCTCAAACTGCTGGCTAAGATGTGCATGTAGATCTGAAATACCATACGCATCATTTCCTGTGATAATCATATCATCAACATAAAAAAAAGAGTATAACTATCCCAAATGAAGAACGACGAAGAAATAAGTCAAAGTCGTAAGCGCATGTGGTAAAACCAAACTCTAATAGTGCAGCACTAAATGTGGCATACCAAGCCCAAGGGGTCTGCTTCAACCCATATAAAGCGCGACATAAGCGACAAACCTTTCCACAGGACGAGAATCTTGGAGGGGGAGTCATATTGACATCTAACTGAATAAGAGACCACTGACGAGCAGCAGCAACAACAAGAAGACAACAAACAGTAGTGAGACGAGCAACGGGAGCAAAAGTCTCATCACAGTCAACTAGATACTCTTGGGAATAACCTTTGTCCACCAGATGAGCCTTGTAGCGCTCAATGGAATCATCAGAATTAGTCTTGATTTTGAAAATCCACTGGCACCCAATAGGTTTCTTGCCATAAGACAAATCCACTAAATCCCAAGTGTGAGTTTTTGCCAGAGTCTCTAATTCCTTAGTCATAGCTTGATGTCATAATGGATCAACACTCGCCTCACGAAATGACATAGGCTCATGATGAGATAATATGGCAAAGTAACAATAATAATCACGCAAGTGAGGAGGAGAGTGACTCACTCTATGTGATCGACGAGGTATGATAGGTCCAAGGACTGCAAACGGATCAATCATCTGGAGACAAGGTCAGAGGTGGATCAGAAGCCTCAACTGGAACAAGATCCGGAGGCAGTGATGGAGCCGTAGAATTAGGATCATGAAACAATGGAGGACATGCCGCAAAAATGAAGGTGAACTAGAAATAGATGGGATGTGAAATTTAAACATGGTGGAAAACATGACATTCTTCCAAAAGGTAACATGATGAGATATACACAACCGTTTGGAAATCGGATCCCAAAGCCTATAACATTTATGCTCTGACCTATAACCAAGAAGACAACATACATGCGCATGAGGTTCCAATTTAGGACGTTTATGTGGAGGGATAGCGACAAAACCGAAGGGACGAAGGTATTATAATCGGGTGGCTAACCATATGGACACTCGAAAGGGGTGCTATTATGGAGGATAGGCGATGGAATACGATTTATGGTATAGACAGTAATGAGGGCGACTTCTCCCCAGAACCTATCAGGACAAAAAACAGACGTAGGGGATGCACGAACAATATCTAGAATGTGACGATGTTTGCACTCAACGCGACTATTCTGTTGAGAGGTGTTGGACAGGAACGCTAAATCAATGTACCCTTGAGCAGAGAGAAAACTTAATAAGGTAGAGTCTCTATACTCAAGGGCATTATCAATACGGAGGGTGTGTATAGGACAAGAAAACTGAGTTTGAACCATTTGAGCAAATTGAATGTATGTTTGAGGTAATTCTAAATGGTGTTTCAAAAAAATATCCTTGTAAAATGGAAGTAATCATCTATGAAAATGACATAATAACGACAACCACCCACATAAGGAACAGGGGAAGGACCCAAAATATCATAATAAACTGAGGAAAATAGTTTACTTGCGACCGACATATTTTCTGAAAAAAAGATAAGGTTGGTTGTTTTCCCAAATGACAGTGTAAGTAATCAAATGACTCAAAATGAGTAGGGCCTAAATGACCCTTACTAACGAGAGACTGAATTTTAATGAAAAACACATGACCAAGACGAATGTGCCATTTAAGACTATGGGAAGAAAATGTATTAAGAGGGGTATGAGTAGTAATAGCAGAGAAATTACTTGGAGGAATTTTCAAAGATTGTACCTCAAATAGTTGACCCATTTTTCGATCTGTCCCAAAAATTTTACCCGTACGTGGATCCTGAACCTGCACACCAGAAGAAGAAAAGACAACAGTAAGTCTTTGCTCAACTAGTTGACTAACTTATACAAGATTTTAAGTCAATTGAGGAATGCAATACGTATCAAGAAGAGATAAATGGTAGAGATATAGATCCTGAATGAGTGATATCCATGCGACTTCCATTAACAGTATGTATAGGCAATGAAGGAGACACGTGATGTGCATCAGTCAAGGAGGCCAAATGTAGGTGTCATATGATAACAACAACCAGAATCAAAATACAATGAATTTTTCATGCCAGAAGGGGATTCGGAAGGAAGAACTTGATGCAAGAGAGTCACGAGATTCTAGACTGAGGAAGCCATGACAAATCAACTTCGATGACAAAACCAATCACAGTAACAGTCGCAAAACGGAATCAACTCCAATGACAAAACCAACCGCACCACAACGTAGGGAACCAAAACAGGAGGCGGCGGCCGAAACACGACAGTGGCGAAAGTATTTTCCACTGCGATTTGATTTTTCGGTGGCAAGGTCGCCAGACGATGGTGGTTCCAACGGTATGGGCGGTATCGACCGGGGAGCGGCAATGGACAGCGACGGCTAGGGTTTTGGTTTTGGAAAATCGGGCTCTGATACCATATTAGAAATTTTGGGAAAAAATAATTAGATTGTGTTATTGATAATCAAAATAAAGGGCCTATATATAAACAATACAATACAAAACAAATTCGATAGACTCAAATGTAAGTAATATAATTTATAAATAAGACCAAGTCTAAATATAAATATACTAAATTCAAAGTCAAATATTTAAAACATCTCAACATAAAAAATATTGGATGAACGAAATCAGGTATTTTTCAAAATATATTCACGATGAATCGTGTTATCAAAAACACTAAGCGAACAAAGTTAAAGTTTTATTTTTTATTTTTTTTGTTAAAATACCATATTATAATTGTATAATGTATCTTTAAAACATTATAATTTTGTTTTGCAAAAATATTTATATATTTTTTAGAGTGTGGGTAATAATTTGCTTTCCTTCTCTTCACAGGGACCTTTTTTTTTTTAGTTATTTGGAAAATTTTATATAAGCATGGTAATTACATACTATGATTTTGATTGGATTTACCAATTTCATTTTATAATAATAATATTATTATATTATTTTGAATTGTTGTTATAACTATAGTATAAACCACACAAAAAAGTAAAAATGCTTAATTTTATTATTAACAAAAAATTAAAATAAAACTCAGGGTGGGTTTTGTTGTTGGTTGTTTTAATTTTTACTATATATTTATTCCGTTTCTTAACAATCTATTAATTTTTTTTCATTTTGGTTTGTCTCATAACAAAGTATTCATTTTTTTTAAGTAATTGTACTATCCACTTAGGATTAAATATCATTTCAATTTACAATATATTACACAAATGTCATTATTGTTATATCATACAATACTAATAAAGTTAGTTTAGTCTTTTTACTTTTATTTCTACTATATCCTAATATAATACTAATATTTCTAAAACTCCGTGCGAAAAACAAATGAATAGATAGATATAGGACGGAGAGATTATAATTTTTTTTTCAAAATATCAAATAAAATACTTATTTTTACTCAAATATTATGTCAATAATTTTTTATATCATATTAAATAATTATTTTCATTCAAAATTTTATCATTTAAAACTCAAACACAAAATTTAAATCTACAACGTGTTTTTTTATTAAAAGAATACCAAATACATTTTCTCAAAAATAAATATATTACACACTCATTATTTTTCTATTACTTACGCAATTTTCTATACTTCATATAAATTTTTTTTTCCTATAAACTAAAACACAAAAACAAACAAACCCCCGGTCTCACGTAGCTTATAGATGGCATATAAAACCAAACTATTTTTTTAGTCCCGTAATTGACCATCTTATAATTTTTAATTTCGTAACTGAAGTCTGTATTGAAATAGTCCTGTAAGTCAATTTTCTTTTTTTGCACACGTGGTATATTAATTTTTTAGAAAAATTATATTTTTTAATCTTATCTTATTATTTCAGTCTCGTAAGTGAAGTCCACATAAAAATAATTCCGTATTAATTTTTTTTTTTGGCACAATTAATCTTTTGGTGCCGGAGATATGCATGTGATCTTCGCGTGATACACTAAAACACACTTATTTGCCAAATAAGCGACACCGAAACTACATGTGAATTTTTCAAAATTTGGAATACCAAATAAACAAAAAATTATAGTAATGAGGGAGTATAAACTTGACGAAAAGTAAATAGAAAATTAAAAAAGAAGACAAGTATACATATATATTGGATGTGGAGTGGTCAACAGTCAAAGGAATAGAGAGAGGCAGATAGAGGGAGATGCGAATGACGTGTGTGTAGAGAAGATAAGTGAAGAGAAGGAACATTCCTCTTTTATTTTTATTTTTGTTCCTTCTAGACGAACAGAACGGAACACGGAACACGAAAATCCATCCATCCCTGTTTCTTTCCTTCCTTGCTTGTGCTTCTAGACACACACGAGAATACATACTTTCAATCTTACCATTTATATTAATTGCTCTCTCTCTCTCTCTCTCTTGCCTGTCTGACTTGACTTTGAGTTGATTTCAGTTAAGTAATGAGGTTCCTTTTCATCATTTCCGTGACCATCCATCCATCCATCCATCCATCTTCTTTTTATGCAATCCACAACACCTCTAATTGTAATTGCTGTAATTGTAACAATCATTAATAAGGTGCGTGACATCAGACCAATATTTTTTAATTATTTATTTACTATTTTATTAATGAATAATAAGCAAGCTTTAACTATTCCAAAGGGGGAGAGGGAGAGGGAGAGGGAGAGGGAGAGGGAGGGAGCAAATAGCAATCCACTAGAGCGTACGCTGTGACCGACCGCGTTGACTTTCATTGGAAACCGAGTGGGAAATGGCAATGGTAGGTTTCCGGCAGTTCATCCTCTCTCTCTCTCTCTCTCTCTCTCTCTCTCTCTCTCTCAAACCATACAATTCAACACTTGGAACCTAATTACTTTTGAATTTAACCCCAACCCCATTAATTAATTAATCAATTAATTAAACCATCCATATATCCATCCCAACAATTCTCTCTTCTTCTTCTTCTTCTTCTTCAAATTAACAACCTTAATTACCCCAATCTCAATTTCCATCAATGCAACGCCTTCATTGATTCATTAATTAAGTCGCCATGAATCCCAAGTCCCTCTGTTTCGTGCTACCCACAGAAACCGACGACGACCAAGACGACGCTGCCCAGTCAAAGCTCCAAAACTCATCCTCCGCCAAGAACCCCCCGCCGCCGCCTCGCCGCCGCGTCTCCGCCGTAGATTCCCTCCGCCACGCATTGCAGCGCTTCTTCCTCTGCCACCACCACGGCAACCAATTCTCCGGCGCCTTCACCGACGCCGACGGCGTCCACCAAGCCGAGCCCGACAACAACAACCCCAGAATCTTCAGCTACTCCGAGCTCTACATCGCCACCAACGGATTCAACGCCGCCCAAATCCTCGGCGCCGGCGGCTTCGGCAGAGTCTACCGCGCCGTCCTCCCCAGCGACGGCACAACCGTCGCCGTCAAGTCCCTCGCCGAGAGTGGCCACACCTTCCAGAAAACCTTTATGGCGGAGCTCCTCGCTGTCGCCCACCTCCGCCACCGCAACCTCGTCCGCCTCCGCGGATGGTCCACTCACGCCGACGACCACCAACTCCTCCTCGTCTACGATTACATGCCCAACCGCAGCCTCGACAAAATCCTCTTCCAAAAATCCCCATCCTCCCCCCTAACATGGCACCAACGCAACAACATCGTCAATGGCCTGGCCGCCGCCTTACATTACCTCCACGACCAGCTCGAAACGCAGATTATTCATCGGGATGTCAAGGCCAGCAACGTCATGCTCGACGCCCACTTCAACGCCCGCCTAGGCGACTTCGGCCTCGCCCGCTGGCTCGAACACGACGCCGGCAATCTCAGCTACTACAGCAACAAAAATAGTAATAACAATACTCTGTTATTCCGATTGGCCGACACTACAAGGATCGGCGGCACCATCGGATACCTCCCGCCGGAGAGCTTCCAGAAGAGAAGCGCAGCCTCCACCGCCAAATCGGATGTATTCAGCTTCGGGATCGTCGTGCTGGAAGTCGTCTCAGGGAGGCGCGCCGTCGATCTAACCTGCACCGATGATCAAATCGTGCTGCTGGATTGGATCCGGCGGCTGTCCGATGACGGCGAACTTCTCCGGGCAGGGGATTCACGTCTCCGGAATTGTTCTGGTTCCGACATGGAGAGGCTATTGCAGCTGGGGCTTATGTGTACGCTTAATGAAGCTCATTCCCGACCAACCATGAAATGGATTGTCCAAGTCCTTACCGGCAATCTCTACGGCAAATTGCCGCAACTTCCCTCCTTTCGATCGCATCCTCTTTACATTTCCCTCTCGTCGTCGTCATCCTCAAGCAGCAGCAACAACACCAACACCCGAAATACAACCAGCAACAGCACGACGACGACAGGATTCTTTTCCTCGGGCTTTGTCTCGGCAAATGGCGAAACAATTTATATGAGTGCCGAACAATCCAAGACGAGGACCGTCATCCCTTGGACGAAAAAATCGTCAGCTAATCCCATCGTCGAGACTCCGCGACCAATAGCGTTCGAGAAGATAGTTTCAGCGACAAAAAACTTCTCCAAAATGGTTGCCGAGGTCGACTTCGGGACTGCCTATTACGGCGCCCTCGACAACTGCAATCCGGTTATCGTCAAAAGGCTAGGGATGAAGACTTGTCCCGCATTGCGGATGAGATTCGCAAACGAATTCCAAAACTTGGGACGGCTGCGCCATCGTAACCTAATTCAGCTTCGCGGATGGTGCACCGAGCAGGGGGAGATGCTCGTCGTTTACGACTACTCCAACTGTCGTCTTCTCAGCCGCGCTCTCTTCCATCACGATCAGAACAAGAAAAGAAATCTGATGCTGCGCTGGCGTCAACGCTACAACATAATCCAATCCCTCGCCTCAGCCGTTTGCTATCTGCACGAGGAGTGGGATGAGCAAGTAATTCACCGGAACATCACGTCGTCCGCAGTCAGCCTAGATCAGGATGCGAACCCGAAGCTGGGGTCTTTTTCCCTCGCCGAGTTCTTGACAAGAAACGAAGACGGCCATCACATAGCGCTGGACAAAAGGCAGTCGGTGAGAGGCATTTTTGGGTACATGTCACCGGAGTACATTGAGACAGGAGAAGCGACTACGATGGCGGATGTCTACAGCTTCGGAGTGGTGCTGCTTGAGATCATCACGGGAGAGATGGCGGTCGACTTCCGGAGGCCGGATGTATTGCTGGTGCAGAGAGTGCACGAGTTCGAAGAACAGCAAAGACCGTACGAGCAATTGGTGGATCGCCGGCTGGACGGGCAATTTGACGAGAGGGAACTGAGTAAGCTCGCGAAACTGGGGATCGCGTGCACGCGGTCGGACGCGAAGTCGAGACCAAACATGAGGCAGATTGCGAGCATACTCGACGGCGGCAACGGCGGCGGCAATAGGTGGCTGGTGATGGAGGACGGGCGGAGGGAGGGGATGGAAGAATGGAAGAGGAGAAATGCTTGCACTTTGGAACTCGTTGGAAGAATCAAAGCGCTTGGAATTCAATGAAATCGAATATCTGTAGAATGTTTTGTTTATATCTTTATCTGTACGTTCTGTATGTCTGTGTATATGTGATTTTGGAATACATACTCGATCCTCCTTCAATGAGTATCAAATCGAAAAGTAGTGCATCTAAAATCTATGTATGTCTTGTATGATCATGGGTTGGGATTCGATTGCATATTAGCTATTGGATTAAAATTTTTAATCCAATGGCTAATATTAGATTAAAAGTGTAATTATAATTTTAATAATCCTAATTTATGTAACTACATCAAATATCACCCTCCTTCATTTTTTCACGCAGTAATCGGTGGGGAGAAACGTCATTCTTCATTCTTCACTCTCCTTCATTATTTAATGGCTGATATCAACGAAGGTGAGCAGAATCAATTATCCATTATTCCAACCCCATTCAACCGCTTAACAAGGAATGAAAACATCGAAGAGATTGCAATTTCGGATAATCCAGCTCCTTCGCCAGTACCAGAACGGAAAATCGCTCAATCACGTAAGTTACGCATCGAAAATTGACTTGGAATCGTGAACATCGTACCTTCTGTGATCAATTTCATTGAAATTATGTTATTCTGTTCAGCAGATTGGAATTTCGTAAATATACTTTAGTATTCGCAATTTAATGAGAGCGTTAGTTACCAGCATGATATGTGATTGTCTTTGATACAGATATCAGCATCTTGTCATTTATCTGAAAGCATATTGAAATATGCTGGTCAACATTTTGATTAACAGAATTTAGCATTCCACGTGTGCAGAGTCCATAGATTGGCATGCAATGAAATTTACAAAATCGGATGATGCATACAGTTTCTATTGTGAATATGCACACAATAGGGATTTTTCAGTGAGGATAAAAATTCAAAAAAATTTCAGAAAAAATCGCACCAGATACAATACATGGAGTATTGTTGCAACAAAGCAGAGTTCAAAGAGAGTAACAATGTGAAACCACACAATCTTGAGATTCATCCAAAACAATGCAGCGAGTTAAGAAGGATCAAAATCATGCATCATAGTCATGAAACGGAAACAGACTAATTCAAAGATACAACTTCAATTTGACAAGAAGAATGTAAAGTACAAGTGACATACTTTAAAGACAACCACAATCATGATCTACATCCTACAAAACACAAGCACATGTTTGTATCAAATCGTAGGATTAATACATCACATTTAATCTTGCGAATATAAATCAAGAAGTCGGACTACCAATCAGATCATCGTATGATTTGTGAAAATAGTTGTCAGAGGAAAGAAAAATGTGAATATGCTTCTTTACTTGGCTCGTCTGCTCAAATTAATAGATTAGTTTGATGAGTGTATTCTTCATATATGCTGTTGAATGAACGTGAATATGCTGAGTAGGTTTTTACGGCCAGACAGTAATATTGTTCAATTTTTTTTATCAATTTCTGAATATGCTGAGCAGGTTTTTACAGCCAGATAGTAATATTGCTTCAATTTTTTTTTTTTATCAATTTCAAAGAGTGGTGGAGAATCATAGAGAAAAAAAAGGAACAACAAGATTTTTTCGCACGAGATAGACGGCTGGTTGCAAATCATATGTTCAACTCATTGACGAAATCTGCAGCTATATTCTACACACCGAATGTCTTTCAATGGTTTCAGGAGCAACACCAAAGATCCTTTGAATTCATAACACAGTACTTAGATGAAAAGACAACATATCTTATATATAACATGGAGAAGACATGCGATCAACATCTTGTGCGCGTAAATATTCAAGAATCTTCAATTGAGTGCACGTGCAATATATAGAAAAACTCTAGAATGTTGTGCTGTAATTCAATACGCACGATGGATGTATTAGTAGAAACAGGGTGTGCACAGTTAAAAAACATCCCAAACAAATACATATTAAATCGATTGAGAAAATATGCTAGGAAGATGTTACAGTAGCACTACACAGCTTAACATCTAGTCGAGAGGAAATAGATTTTTCAGGAAGATACATATCATTGTGCCACTTTTTCATGAATTCTGCAAAGTTAATAGTATCTGAGCTGAAGAATTACAATTCATTTTTACATAAATTCAATGAATTGCTTCACAACATAGTTACATGCCCAAATCTGTATTGAGGAATGCTGACAGATGAAAATAACAGTTACGTTTTGTATATATTTTATATTCATTGAAATATATATGATATTAAATTAATCGATTCTTCATGTTATAGGAGAAGTACAAAATATAACCACTGCAGACCATTTCATATTGAAGCCAAGAGACAATCCAAAAGGAAAATTTAAAAGAAAGATGTCAATCAGCAACTCTAAAAGACAAAAGAAACATCAAATGATGAATAAGAAAGATAACCAGCAGGATAAATCCAAGAAAAAGATGATTTTTTGTCGGTTCATATATGATTTAGCTGCAAAGTATTGTGAATAATTGATATTAAGCACTTACATATACAAGACCAAACATTTTGTCGAATACTAATAAACATCTTATTGAGTATCAATAAGCATTTTCTACAAGTGTGTTTAGGATGTCAATGAGATATGAATGTTATTCGAGAAAATGCTGCAAAATTAATTGTCAATTTAAAATATTATTCTTGAAATCATGCAACTTTTTTTTTTAAAAAAATAATAACTTGTTTCTGCGAGCTCATGGAAACCAAGCTTGTTTCTGCGGAGAGTAGCCAACTTTTACAAAATAAATCTGTTTCTAGCGAAAACAAGGTCTGTTTCTGCTAGCTCGCGGAAATAGACCTTGTTTCCGCTAGAAACATGCAGCATTCATTCTAAACCTACCAACATTTATATATATTAAGTCAAGCATTTTACTATGTATCGGTCATCATCTTGTGTTTTAACAAGAAGCATGAGTATTAAGCAGTAATTGTTGTGAAAATACAGTCAACAGATCAATCACCAATTAAAATTCAATCCATCGATCAACACCAACAATCTATTCAAGTTAAATCGATCGATCAATACCAACAATCTTTTCAAATTCAATTCATCAAAATCAACAAATCAGTCATCATATTTAATTTTTGTCTTGTCCACGACCTCGTCCTCGCCCTAAACATTTACCCTAAACTACACAATGGAAAAAACAAAACTCAAAATAGGTAACACGGAAGAAGATGAACATTTATCCTAAACTGCACAATGGAAAAAACAGTACTTACCAAAAATCTCCTCCATGGACGCGCCTAGTATCGTCGATTTGAAGGACGGTACAGAGAGTTGAAGAAGACGAATTGGAAACGACGCGCGAGGGAAGGGTTTCGTTGAAGAAAGCGATTTAAAGACGGAATGAAGAACAAACGAACGTGATGGAGGATTTTCGATGAAGAAGGCGATTTGAAAACGAAATAGAGAATAAGCTAGCGCGATGGAGGATTTTTGTTGAAGAAAACGATTTGAAGGGGGAAGATTAACGATTTGAAGACAAATGGTTCATATACACCTATAAGTCTTTAAAATAAAATTACTATATTACCCCTACGTAATCTTATGATGAACGGTTCGGATTGGATCAGGATGGTGCTGATGGGATCAGCACCGGATCCGCCTCCCAGGTGGAGATTGTTCAGCAATGTCATATTCATAGAAGTGGATCAATCTCCTAGGATTCGTAGCCTGGTAATTCTTAGGTTCGTTCCACAACTATTAAATATAAATATATTGGACTTGTTCGCTTAGTTTTTTTTGATAAATTTATTTTTGATATTATACATAAGAATTGTGTTGTAAATATAAAAGATAATGTATTTATTATATGATGTGTTTATAGATATATATATTACTTTTGTAAATAATATTAATAGAAAATTATGTCATAAAAAATATGATGCGAACAAAGTGAGTAAAACTTTTTTATCGAGGGTACAAATCCTTTGGGCATACTTGTTTATATATTTAATTTTTGAATTTGAATTTTTAAATAGTAAAAATTTAAATACAAATAATTATTTAATATAATATTTTAAATATAATATTATTTTAGTACAATATAAAAAAAAAAAAGAAAAACTAAATAGAAAAAATTTAATGAAAAACCAATAAAAAAAAAAACACAACCTGTATGTTTTTATAATAGTATTTGCTATCTCATTCAAAATTTTATTACTCCTTCCAAACAATATTAATTTTTTTCTTAATTTTAGCATACCTTTAGCATAAAACCTGAACTTTTTTTAAAACATAGAGAAATATCATGCCATTTTTAAAGCTTGGATTTATAAAGGTTCTTGTACTGCAAATAGTAAATGTTAAAAAACAAACTCCTCCTCACCAAAAGTCCAAAACTCACAACAAAAGCCAAACAAACAGTAGAGTCATATTTGCATGGGTGAGAATAAGACTGCAAAAATCATTTGGTAAAATATGAAGTAGTGATTCAAGTTGCACAAGAGGAGGATTCAACAATCCGAAGGGAAGAGAAGGGAATGATGATACCTATATCATAATTTAATCCAATAACAAAACTGTCGAATTAAAACAAAGCAAAAGCAAATGCGGTAGAGAACTGAACTTCAATACTTGACCGGAGCAAGAATGTCAAGTTCAGAGCCAAGCTTCTCCTCAGCAGCCTTCACAGCTTTCACTCTAAGCTTTGTCAACTGCTTCTTCCTCTCATATGTTGCCTGGGCCCTCTCTTTCCTCTTCTCCTCCAACTCCTATACGATGGACGACAATGGCAATTAGTTATGATAAAGGGAGTATGTATGATTCACATACACAAGCCAGCCAAAGAGTTTTTACAATTTTAGTGGAAACCCAAAGATTTCCCAAACAAAGTCCCAAAAGAATCAAAACAATAGTGTTAACAAGAATTTTCAAAAGGTAAAGAAAAAAAGGGGAAATTAGTTCCTTGATATTTTCAAGTTCCAACAATGGTTAAATGAAAACCAATATGGTCTTCAAGTTCTACTTAAACAAAAAAGAAAAAGAAAAAAGAAAAAGAAAAAAAAAAAATCACAGGTCATACATCTCAGAGTATCTAAATGAATTGTAATGAGCTGTTTGTTCGGGAGATTTTGCAGGACTTCTACTATTCTTTCAAAATTTTCGTCCTAAAAATATTATATCAAACATTTAATTCTTTATATTATAAGAAATAAACTTTATATTCAAAACATCACATCAATACATATTTATATCAAATCAACAACTATTCCAATTTAAAATTTTCCTCTTGAAAATCGAAACCCCCAAACAAACACAAACCCGTACAATACCAAATCACACCATACAAAGCCTTAAATCAATGGTAAAATATGGAAACGGCACCAAGAATAAGAACAGGACATTAAACATACCCTAATAGTATCATAATGGTTCCATCCAACTTCTGACGAGAGCCTACCCAGCAAGCAGTACTTATGGCCAGCTTGAAGCCTTAAGACCCTGTTTGACAATCACTCAAAGAACTCAATTACATTGAAACAAAACTTAAAAGAGTGTCTAATAAAAGTATTAAATACACCAGAAACTCACTTAAGGGCATCTGGAATGACCATTCTCTTTATCTTATCGTATGGTGGTGGAACACCCTCATAAACCTTCAAGCGTGCAAGGGCAGCTTCTCCTCTCTTTGTCTTGTGGGGTATCATTCTATCAACATACATGGACAAAATCATTTCAGACTCAAAGGGAAACAACTGTAATTATTAATACAATCAATAAAATAGACAAGAAACAAATGACTTAGATACAATGTAAAAGGTTGTCACTCTCTCACAAAATGACAAGTGCATTCGAAAATTATTGCTTGGATGAACGTTTTCTAATGGGTCTTACACTATTTATCACTTCCCCCACCCCCAACCCACACCTCAAAACCATCAAATTAAACATATATTTGTTATTCTAAATATTATATCAGATACCTATTTGTATTGCATCAAAAAACTATTTTAATTCTAACTTTTTACTTTTCTAGAACTCTAAGCCAACTTCCAAACCTATATTCACATCAAATGCTCCAGAAGACTACTGGTCCGACATTATATACTAGGCTACAACATACAAAATAAACCCAGCTTTTTCATTAATAAGGATTAAACATTCTAGATCACATTAGAGTGTATAATAGTTTCCTACTCAAAGTAACTCTTGTTTAACAACAGCTCTATTCACCCATTCAATAACAGTTGATATAGAAAAGTGCATATAGATAATAAGCAGCTGTAACACCAAGTTTTGAACTATGATATAAATCTCTAAATTATCTAGCTGAATTACATATTAACCTAAAAGCTGTAAGCAGGGGATAGTCTAATCAATTCCATTCCAAATACTCACAAAAACTAAGAATAATTGCGGATGCAAAATAATGAACAGCTAGATTACTAAAACCTACCCATCCACGGATGAATTCTTATTTTCTACATCAGATTCTAATTCCAAAAATTTGAAAAAAGAAAACTTAAAGCAAATGTACCCAAATCATACCCACGAATGGTCCTCCACAAAATCTTAGAAGGAGCCCTAAAATGAATAGGGCCATGAGAAGGCTTCGTATTCATCCGTTTACGGAGGAACCTCAAGTACTTCATCTTTTGGCGCACAAGTCCACCGGAAAGACATATTTCCTCGCATCGAACGACCACTACTTTTTGACCGTTCGAGAGCTCTTTCGCCAAAATGGAAGCCAAGCGGCCGAGCATGTGGTGCCTGGCGTCCACCACGACTTTCTTCGCACAGATCCCTGAACCGGACACCATCTCTCTGGATCTGCGGCAGAAGAACGGTGTGAGGATGACGACGGGTGATTTAGGGTTTCTTGGAGATGGGTATTTATATTGTATGTAAGTCAAGTCAGATTTTCATTTGGGCCTTGAGTTCGGATCTGTATGCATACTTAAGCTTTAGGTTAAAGCCCATCAAATATGGGCTAGCCCGCATCCTTTGATTTTAATTGTAAACGAATTCAGGGGTTTTTTTGCCCACAATTTTTTTTCCAACACAATTTTCAATATATATTTTATTTTTTAAAAAATTAATATTAAACATAAATATTATTTTTTATATTATCGATATTTTTTTTATATCTCACATAAAAAAATCAAATTAAAATACTTTAGAGTTTATTTGGCAATTAACTGATAGTTGTTAGCTAATTGAATTAGCTGCTATCTGTTAATTGATTCAATTAGTTAAGTTGACTACTTGATTCAATTAGCAATTGTATCAACGTATTTGGTAACATAGCGATTTGATATTAGTTGTGTTATTCAGTTTTTAGACTTTTTTTAATAATGTTTATTAAAAATTGTGAAGATTTTATTATAATATTTATTTTTGTTGTTTTCAAAATATTTTGTATGAGATTGTACATATATTTTTATTAAATTTATTTTTAATTAATTTTTAATTATTTATAATTTTAAATAAATTTATTCTAATATATTCATCATTAATAAAAAAATATGTGACAAAAAATATATAGTATATATAAATAAATAATAATAATTTCAATTATATCAAATTTATAAAAGTAAATGTAAAAGTTAACTAAGGGTGTGTTTGTTTGGGGGTTTGGATTTTGAGTTGGGATTTGAATAGTAAAAATTTTGAATTTGAATAGTTGTATGATGAGATATAAATAGGTGTTGATGTGATGTTTTGAATGTAAAATTGATTTTTAGTATAATATAAAAAATGAAAAATAGGTGTTTGATTTGATGTTTTTTGGCAAAAAAAATTGGATGAATAATGTAAATCCAATCCAATCCTCCAAACAAACACACCCTTAAAAAAAATATATTAACATAATTAATAAATACTATAATGAAAAATATATTAATGTGAGTAAAATGAATGATTTATTTATTAGGTCAAATAAAGAATTTAAGAAATTAAAGTGAATAAGCTAGTACGAAACACTTGCATGTACAACGTTTCAAAAATTAGTTTTTACCAAACACTTAAATTAATTTTTGATTAGTCAAACATTTCAAAATTGTTCTATCACCTAAAAGTTTTTCAAAAATTTGTTTCTCAAACATACTCTAAACAAACTCGTGGGATAGTCGGTAAAAATATCTTTCCTATCCCTCAGTGTCCGCAATGAGTGGGCAACACATGGCGTGTAGTGTTTATATTATTTTTTTTTATTTTTTTCGAAAATAAAATTACAAAATTTTGATTTTTGTAAATTACTCCTTCTACCTCCCTATTGCTATTTAATTTATGTCTTCTTTCTCTCAGCGTTCATTCAGATTCAGTAATTCTGTCTCTAGTCATCGTCCAACTACCTTCCATATATCGTGAAATAGTCTCTTCTCCTTTATTCCTTCACAGACCTACTGTTTATTTTCTTATTGTAGGGTGGTGTCAAATACTTATTGTTCATCGTTAGCCAGCCCAACCAAGTCCTTATCATTGTCATCACTCGTCTGGCTCCCATCACACAACAGAATCGCCGACATCCTTCTCTTCACGGTTGTTATTATTTGGGAATTTTCAATTTCATCAAAGTTCTTTTGAGTTAGGGTTTAAGTTTTGTTATTCTTGTTGGTAGTTTTGAAGAAGGAGACAAATCTCTCGCACTAAATAAATGACGTGGTCTCATTAAATGATAAGTTGGATTGGAAAGAATAAGCTCTTGAAATAGGATTCACAATTAATTCAATTAAGTTAACTTTTTATTTTATGTGAAGATTGTTTTAACTGATTCAAACAAATGTGAATTTGTCCGATAAAATAAAATATTATTATAAGTGCGGTAATGGGATCGGATTATGTAGGATCATTCTTCTCAGGTTACACTAATAAATAAAAACTCTACATCAAATTTTAAATACACAACAATTTTCTTGCAAAAAAATTCCAATCTCCGTTTTCTCTCGCAAAGTGCTTTCCAAAAACCAAAATTTTCTTGTGCAATCAAAACTCTTCCAAAATCTTTGATTCTCCTGATTTAGTTTGCGGGATCTGTAATTCCGTTAGATTCGTTCTATCCTGGGAGGCAATCAGTGACGGCCGAATTCGCTTCAAGGAAATCGCGTACTACGCGAGGCTCGAATACGATCTTGATTCTTTGTTATCATATTTGTGATTAATTTTTTTCGTCTTATCTCAGATTCGCCGTAAAATATTCAACAATTCTTTGTGTTAATCTTAACGATGTGGATTTAGTATTATTTTTTCTTTGGATTTTTTTTTCCCAATTTCGATAGGTTTGATTGAATTAGAATTTAGATTTTGTTGATTTCAGAGTTTTGAAGGTTTTGCTATTTTCAATTAGGGTACTTTATGTTTTAATTAGTGTATTCATTGGATTAATATTGGTGCAATATGATCCATAGAGTGAGCAACCATGAGCCTAATGAATAATTCTTTTTTTCCCGATATGTAAAATAATGAATATTTTTATTTAATTGAAAACACATTGTTTTACACTTGTAAATTTAATGCATTTTAGAGTAATTATACCGTGTCTATAGTGTTAGATGTATATGACGAATCTGAGATATGATAAAATCAGAAATTATAGATCATAATATTAATACAAATTGAAAACACATAGATTTTCCGGAGGATATTTGATTGAATAGGGTTTTATTGATTGTGTGATTTTTTGTTGCGATGAGGAATGTTGTTACACGCCACTAATGCACGTATTAACCGCTTCACAACAAACTCCATTTATCCAATAATTAACATGAATTAGTCCGTTATCATTCAAATTCAAAATTAAATTTTGAAATTGTAAAATTGAATTTAATTTATTGGATTTGGCCCACGTAGTCCACGAGCCCAAGCACAAGCCATAGAGCCCAAACCAATCCAATTTTGTCATTTATTACTTAATAGAGTGAAAAGTTAATATACTGAGATGAGTTTGTTTGTATTCCTCGTGTGGGACACAAAACTCTTCATTTCCCTTCTCTTCTCTCATCTTTCACACACACCCAATATATAGTAATAATATGTCGTAAACTCATTGTGAGTGAATGAATTTAATTATTTGGTTTTGTTTACAAATGAATGAATTCCTTGTTCAATTGTGATTTTAATTCTCTTACATTCTAATATTGTTGTATGTTGTAAATTCATATAAGACTTTCCGTTTATTTAATTGAGCTTCATCATCCGAGCAAATTCTTTTTGAGGGGTCAAATTTATTTTGAATAAGACAATTTTAAAACGATTTTAATTCTGCATTACAGTATTTAAAAAACTTCAAGTTGGAAAGAAATCATACATAATTCACCGTCATGATTGGCAGATATTTTTTGTTGTATAGATCTATGATGCATCTTATTTATTATGAAAATAAAAATTTAAAAATTATGTCTACAAATATTTTTTTTATCTTATTATTATGATTTTGATTTTATATTAGATTATTGTACTGAAGTTTGTGCAGTGTTGGTATAAGTTGTTTTTGGGTTGAAAATCATTAGGTTTATTTGAAGGAGGGGTTCTGTTCTAAACATATAATGTTGCAAGATCAATAGATCTTGTTTGTTCTATAGTATGTTGATAAGATGATACTTTATATGACAACAATTGGTTGCATATTCATGCAGGGTACTTGTATTACTTGCTGCAGATTAATAGGTCTTTTTTTTTTTTCAAAATAAATAAATAAGAGTAACAATTGCATTTACAACACAGATCGTGCACTTTAAATTCATTAACAAATATTACCAACATAAGTAAAGATGCCAACGATGCTCTTGTGTGTTGGGGGCTAGACGACAAAAGATGAGGACTCGGTTGGGCTAGCCGACGAAGAGTAAGTGTTTGACACTCCTCCAATAAGGAAATAATCCGTAGGTTGTGGCAGAAAAGAGGCTATTCAGGCATCTCCTGGTGCTGGGTTGGATGATTCCAAATCCAGCGCCATTTTTTTGGCGTTGCTTTCTTTTCTTTTTTTTTTAGTTTTTTTTTAAATTTTTAAAATTTAAATTTTAAAATTTATTTTTTATTTTTTTAAATTTAAAAAAAAAATTATTTTAAAATTATAAAAATAAAAAGTTGTTTAAAAATAGAAAAAATTGAATATTCTAAAAATAATAGTGAAAAATAGAGTTATTGAAGTAAAATTACTGTAGCAACTTCATACTTAGAGTTAAAAATTCATAAATGGAGTTAATGGATTGGAGATGGCCTCACTGATAGAAGCTGCTGGGCAAGATGTGAAGAGGCTAGACGACAACGACGAAAGCGACGGCGGGCTGAACGGCCATGACGAGAGGCAGAATGATTGAATCTGAATGAACACGGAGATAGAGAGGACACAAAAATTGAATCGCGATAAGGAGATAGAGGGAGTAAATTGCAAAAATCGAAATTTTGTAATTTTATTTGCAAAAGAAAATTAAAAGATAATATGAACACCACACGCCACGTGTCTCCCTCCCATTGGCTGGGACTGAGGGATAGGAAAAAAAGATCTCGATACCGACAATCCCCACCCCAAAAGAAATAATCCCTCACTTTCTCGAGTGTTTAATGAAGTGGAGTGGGGAAAATAATGGAGTTATTAAGTTAATGTTTTTTTATCGTATTATTATTTATTTGTAAATATTATTAAAAAATATAATACTTTTCTCGTCCTTCTTTAGGGATATCAAATGATATTTAATTAGTTAATAATAATGAGTTGTTATTATTTAATTATTAATAATATTGATAGTTTTAAAATAAATTTTACATGTGGATTAAAAAATTAAACTATGTATTTAAATATTTTAAAAATTTATCACAATAAAAAAATATATGCAATAAATATATAATTTTGTAGATAATAAAATAT